TCTGAGCTGTCAAACTTCTCGATCTTAGATTTGATTTTCTCTGCCATGGCTTTCACACAAATTGTTGAATGAAGCTCTGATACCAGTTGTTGGGGATTCGAAACAATCAAATCGAACCCTTGCCCTTCCGGACCTTCTGTTGAAAGTAGGAAAGTAGGAAAATTCACCTCAAATAAAGATAAAAAATTTGCAGAAATAAAAAAGGAGACGAACACACAGATTTAACGAGGTTTGGCAACGTGCCTACATCCTCGGGAGCCACACCACATAATTCTTTTGATTAATTGAAGAAGAAATACAAGCCCTCAAACTAGGGTTTTATTTCTCCGAGATTCTCTCTTTTTTTACTGTCAAAAACTCTCTTTTTTCATGTACATCCAAGCCCTAAAAACATTTAGGTATATATAGAGTCCTGAAGGAAACAGAATCCAAAACAGTTTAGGAAACTGTTTGACTGTGTCGTGGTCGACCGTGGCGGTCGATCGCGCAGGTATCGCGGTCGACTGCGGCGGTCGACCGAACCAAATTCCCGAGAGCAGAAAACATTATAGTGTTGGTGCGGTCGACCGTCACGGTCGACTGAACTGATTCCCGAGACCATAAATTCCCTATAGGGTCCTCGCGTTCAGCTCCATCCTCTTGTCAGTTTCTGTGCACGTTCGCGGTCGACCGTCACGGTCGACCGTGCATGCCTCCTCCTGTTTTTATCGATTTTCTCCCTCGTTTTGATTCCGGCTTCGGCTTCAACTTTGGGTCTACATTTTAGACTAACAAAAAAATTATTACATGTTTTCTGTTCACTTGCGTGCAGCATTAGAAGACATCACATGTTTTTGTAGAGTGTCCTGGTGATATATAGCTACTGCTACCTACCCTTTGATTGTCGCTACCAATGCAATGAATTGAGGAAGTTGGACTCAATATGCAATCTTTTATTGGATATTTTTTAGTTTCTGTTATAAGCTACGAGGTCAAATCATGCTAAGAGCTAGAGAGGATGAAACCGGAAAATTTTGTTTGTTTTCTGTAGGACGAAAAGGATAGGTATTTGTAGCAACTTTTATTTTCTTTGTATTAATTGTTTTTCTTTCTTTTTTATTTTAGGGTTTTTGGAGAAAGCGATTTTTTAAAATGAAATGTTCTTTCTCCTATTTGGTGAAAATCACTTCTCTTGTTTTATACTTACTCTAATCGAAACAAAATATGAAATGGTTAAAAATGCTCTATTTTGGGACTTCAACTCACTCTTATCCAACAAACAAGTACCCCCTACATGCCAATGTGATTTTGATGTATATATGAGCTAATTATGGAAAAATGACCCTTGGTACCTTACCACAGAACAACTTGCCCCACAATGCCACATAACTATTTGCATTGATTACGATTTTGCAGAAGCATTTCATATATTCTGCAAAGTGAAAATCTAATAATAATTTGCAGACCTTTATTTACCTGGATGATGCTCTAATTACATGATTTTGCTCATCATATAACTGCAATCTTATCTTTGAGATAGTACATTCACATGTCACTGAAGTAACTGACACAATTGAATTTATGGCTAAAGCATTTGAATTATGGCCAAGGCTTATCTTGGATACAAAAAAAATCAAATGTTAATAGGGGAAAAAAATTCCAGTAAGCATATGAGATGTAATATAGCTTATCAAATACCACAAAATTATTTACGTATTTGATATAAAAAAACTACAGAGGTCTGACTTATTTTAGAAACTGTTATGGTAATTCACCATCTAAAAACAAAAATATCGAGAAGCTATGTTAACGCCTTAAGAACCTAAACTGTGTAGACTCCAGTTGACTTATAAGTATAAAATGTGTTAACGCCGATCAACGCGTCGATGATTCCGCCAAAATAAGGCTCAGGATGACTGTTGAGATAAATAAAAATATATATATTCCAGAGAGTTCGATCGTATTCAGATACAAATTCCCGACAGAGATGATCAGTTCAAAGTTAATTCAACGACACGAGCTAATTCAGACATCAACATACCAATCCCAATTCAAGATTTCGACAACGGTCCGACGATAAATGCAGTACCGAAAGAATTTTAGCTATTCGATAAAATACTGAATTGACTGAAAGCTGAAGAAATCCAAGAGTTGAAGGTTGGGCGTATGATATCCAAAGTATTTCAGGCTCCTCTATAAAGGAATGTGATTGAAACACTTTGGAGGGGGTATCTGTAGGCGTCAAAAATGTCTATGGGTTCCCACACGTAGTTCGACACTAAGCGAAGACGATGAACGTCATCATCCAAGTCAGAGGGGATTATCTGAGTTAAGGAGGAACATCCGATGCCGAAGAGAAGCTAATGAGCGCACAAAACGAGCCTACGAAGCGTACAAGTCAACGGAACGACAATGCAAGTCCGGGAAAGCCTAAAAATAGCTAAGTCTCGAGGCGAACGGCTCAAGTGCGAGTCACCACGAAGTGAACCGCACGCACGGGGGCACCACGAGGTTACCCGCACGCACGCGGGTCACTAATTAGTGACCCGCGCAATGGCGGGTC